GAAAGGCCTATGAAGTGGTATATAAGTCGAACTGCTATTGCTATTGCTAAAACGAGGACCCAGACGGTTGGGGGAAGAGGCTGACTGCGTGAACTGCTTAGATAGAGCTGTAAAAGCACTATGAAGCAGTATATAAGTCTAAGTGCTATTGCTATTAAATAAATACACAAATGGAAAAAAAAATATGAAATGCCAGCCAACGTGATGTTTCTTAGTTGTTGGATTTCAAACCTGGCCAAGAAGTTGTCAGAATTAAAAACGCAACATCTCCACGATTGTTACGGGGACCTTGTGCCGTTGGAATATAAATGCGTCATCTTTAAATCCACCCAGTGATTCAGTCATCTGAACTCAGGTAGAACATGGGGGGAAAGCAGGAAATTACCCCTGATTCATGTAAAATATTGGCATGGCTTCCAGCCTAATTAGAAATGGGAGAGAATGTTAATTTGCACAACAGAATTGCAAAATATGCCCAGCTTTAATAGAGTGTTATTCTAATTTTTCATCACACCAGATACAGTTTTTCCCCGTCTAAAGTAAGCCAGAGAAATGCAGTTTTGAACCTTAGTTTTCCAACCACAGTGTACACAAATGATCGCTTGAAAATCAGTTAATTTAAGTACTTAATTTAATTAACATAAGGTCTGGGAAATAATTGTGAGCTGAAATCACTGAAGCGATAATTCCATGTATCTCGTGGTCCCTGGAATATAATACGTAGCACTGAAGTTTAATTTGGGGACAGCGTAATTTTTTAATATGATTCATAATCCCGATGCAAAGAAAATGCTTCTCTCTCTCTCTCTTTTTTTTCCTGGGCTCTTATTCATTCGTGTTTGCCAACAGGGTAAAAAAATTAAAATAAATCCTAAAGGATGTCTAGAGTTTTGTTTTTGTTGTGCTTCTTATCAACCCACAGACAGCCCTAATCCAAGGCTGCAAGGCCCCCTCTTAAGCCCTTTTGATTTCTATAGGATTTCAACAGTGCAATCCTAAGGATTAAGTCAATTCCACTGGGGAAAATTGTTATGAAATACTGCAGATTTTTACTTGTTTATTTGACAGGTTTATTTCCTGTACCTATTTTAGAAGATCAATAGAGGACATTCACAGGACTTTCCCCTCCAGGATTTCCCCATAACTAGAAGCTGAGAGTTGGTACTCGCAAAGTCATTGAGTTTCTGGGGATGATGGGGGGAAATGAACTTCAGTCTCATAATCAGAACAGAGCTGGAAGAGGCTTTGGAGGTCATCTACTCCAGCCCCGGCTCAAGGAGACCCCTATATGAAATGTGTATACCACTAAAAAGAGGATGCATGTAAAATTATAAATATGAAAGATGTTTGTTGGAATGTAATTATCAATACCAGCAAATATTAAATGAAGTGTGCTCAGATGCTGAAATGCCCCATGTGAATTAATCGGAGAGAGTGGGAAGGAAAGGTAGAGGTAAGGAGAAAGAGAGGAGACAGGAGAGAGAGAGAGAAATAGAAGGGAGAGGAGAAGTAGGAGAGAGAGAAGGAGTTGAGAGAGGAGAGAAGGAGTTGAGAGAGGAGAGAGAAGAGAGGAAGGGGAAGTAGAGAAGAGAGGGATGGCAGAGGGAAGAAAGGAGGTAGGGAGGAGGAGAGAGGGAGAGGAGAGAAGACAGTGGGGAAATAGGGTATAATATGGTGTATTGAAAGCAGAAGAGCGAATGACAGCTGTTCTGGGTAGAGGGAATGATATAGTAATAGACAGTAGAAAAAAATTCTGTTCAGATGTAATGGTATACTTGTGGTTATATGTATGAAATTAAAATAAAATAAACTTTTCAAAAAAAGAAGAAGGAGACCCTGGACCATTTCAGACAATTGACTGCCCAGCCTCTTCTTAAAATCCTCCAGTGATGGAGCATCTACAACTTCTGAAGGCAACTTCTGTCCCACTGGTTAATTGTCCTCCCTCTTAGGAAGTTTCTCCTCAATTGCAGGTTGCTTCTCTCCTTGATGTGTTTCCATCCATGGTTTCTTGTTTTTCTTTCTGGCGCTTTGGAAAATGAGTTGACCCCCCTTCCTCTTAATGTAAAAAAAGAGCTTGAGACTTTGAGGAAAAAGTCCAGAGAAGAGAAATGAAGATGATTAAAGGCCTGGAGACTAAAGCGTATGAAGAACGGTTGAAGGAACTGGGTATGGCCAGTCAAGAGAAAAGAAGGACTCAAGGGGGACACGATTTGAGGGGCTGCCACAAAGAGGAGGGGGGGCAATTTATTTTACAAAGCACCAGAGGGACCAATAATGGATGGGAACTAATCAAGGAGAGAAGCAAGCTGGGATTAAGGAGAAACTTCCTCGTAAATGAGGACTGTTAACCAGTGGGATAGAAGTTGCCTTCAGAAGTTGTGGGAGCTTCATCGCTGGAGGTTTTTAAGAAGAGACTGGAGAGTCACTTGTCTGAAATGATATAGGGTGTCCTGCTTGAGCAGGGGGTTGGACTAGGAGACCTCCAAGGTCCCGTCCAGCTCTGTCCTGGGTTGAATTAAATTGGAATGTCCCAGAAGAAACAGCCAACACACTTGAGATTTGACAGTGAGAACAATTAATCGATGAAACAGCTTGCCTCCCGAAGCTGTAAAGGCCGCAACACTGGAAGTTTTTAAGAATATCTTGGAGAACCCTTTGTCTGAAGTGGTGTAGGGTTTCCTGCCTAGGCAGAGGGTTGGACTAGAAGACCTCCAAGGTCCTTTCCATCTCTATTATTCTATGTTTTACGAAATTGGTATGCCTGGTTTAATGAAGAGAAGGACTTGGGGAGACATTATAGTAGTGTGCCAGTATTTTAGGGGCTGTCACGAAGAGGAGGGGGTCAACTCATTCTTCAAAGCACCAGAAGGCAAGACAAGAAACAAATGGATCTAAACAGACCGAGGAGAGAAGCAACTTCCAACTCTGTTGTTCTGTTCTGTTGTGTTCTGCTCTGCTCTGCTCTATTCTATTCGACCAGGTAGCTGTGCTTCTTGCCTCTTCCTTTATAACCCAAGGATTAGCCAATCACGGATGCTTTTCCTCAAAGGAAGTTGGAGACCAAACCTTCCTTTCCACTTCCTTCCCGTCGTGCACAATCCGCAAGATTGCTGTGGACAGGTGAGAACGTAAAGAGTTTGTGATTGACAGAGGAGGCTGGCAAGCTGAAAGTGAGATGACGGAAGCTCATTGTTTACGGTGGCATCCACACTTGTGTGCTTTGTCCTATTGTCATCTGTGGCTAAATGGTCCTTTCAGCCTTCAGCCTGTGCAATTACTATGCATGCGGTAGAATAGCTGTCGCATCTCCTGCACTCCGAAAAAGCCATTGTCTGCTCCCAGCCTGGCTCTCAATGCAGGAATAACGACGCTGTTGCCAATATTGTAATTTCCATTCATGTTAATAACAAGAAAACAGCAACTAACCCACTAGGTAATGTATTTTCGGCCCAATCTTCAATTGCTTTTTAAATAACCCCGTTGATATTACTAGTCACTTGAATAAGCACATCTGTATTGATTTGCTGAAACTACCAGGAACTTAATATATAGTTTCCTAATCTGACGCTGCCTATTGGGAAACGTCATATCAATTCCCTTCTTGTTATGCTCTCCCCTCCGCTCTGGATTTTATTTTATTTTCTCATATCATAAAAGGGGGGGGAGACAACGGATTCCGTAAATCATAGGGAAATGAGCGATTAAGTAGCTGGTGTGCGCTGCGCCTTTATTCAGTTCTGATGGTCCTTGCTGGGTTGAATAATGCAATTCCAGGCCGAGCAATGTGATTTGCATGCAGCCTCCAAGCACATGATAAAAATAATCTTAAATTATCTGGAGCTGCAGGAGGCTCAGGGGAACCAGAACTAAGGAATGGGATTCATATATCAAAGGTGACACCATGGGGAGGGACAGAGATCCCTCGGTTAGGAAGATACATTTTTGCTGCCTTATCACTTGCTTTGATTTTTCTGGAGTAGAAACTCTGGAAAGAGGGTAGAGAAGAGCAACAAATATGATCAGGGGTTGTTGTTGTTGTGGTTGTTGTTAGTTGCGAAGTTGTGTCCNTGCCTTTCTTTCTCTTTCTCTCTCTCTCTCATATAAGTCCTACCCTCGCTGCCCTCGACTGGTCAGATTTCATCGCAAAATGAAAATTTGATAGCTCCCTTGATTGATCGGAGAGAGTCACCTCTGGCTACCTCCGCATCCCGAGACTGCTTAGCTGACAGAAGGAGAGGATGAAGTGGAGCAAGACTTGAGAGCCGATCAGTCGGGAAAGCGGGGCGCTCAGGAGGGCTGCTCCCCATGGCTAAGGAGGAAAGATAGAGAATGGCCCTCCTCTTTCTTTTCCACGGGACCTCTCTAAGGTCGGTTTCGAGTGGGAAGCTTCCATGCTGAGCCACAACACTCCCCCAAAGCCGGTCTCTGACTCGCTCACGATTCCAGGATCCCTCCTGCTTGGCTGCATCTGCCATGCTTCACCACGTGGCAATCTTATTGCATTGTCTTCCTCTGGTCGTGGGACAGTATGACATCTGTAAATCCTGGGTCACCACGGACAATGGGCCGATGTGGGAGTTTTACGCTTGCCAGCCCAAAGCGATGGCCATGAAGGATTTCGCCACGGTCCGGGTGGAGCCTTCCGGCATCACCTGCGGGGATCCTCCCGAGCGGTTTTGCACGCACGTAAGTAGGTCTCCTTAATTTTACGCCTTGCTCGTGGCTCGCGGCATGGAAGGAAGCACTCACCGTGCTCCCAATGGCTCCTTGGTTGCCGTCCAACGCAGCATCTCAAAAAGGCAGTTGACGTTTCCGCCCACAGTCGTTAGTGAGTGGGAAGGAAGCGGTTCAAACAGTTATGTCATGTCTGTCAAGTTTCGGCATCAGTTTGGGGTTTGATCTGGCCCAGGGGTCGGCAACCTTAAGCACCCCAAGAGCTATTTGGGAGCCCATTTCCCACAGAAAAGAAAACACCGGGAGCCACAGAAACCCTTCCTGTGCCCGAGCGGCTACAAAACTAGCATATATCGTTGAATTAAACATTCTGTTTCCTTTCCTTTTCTTGGATTTATCCATGGTTGGCCTACCGGGGGTTGAAAAGCTCAATCAATTGCATGCGGTGGGTGTCGCCCAGTGGCGGTTGTGACGCATATTTTGAGGGACAGGGAGCCGCAGCAGAGGGGAGAAAGAGCCACATGCGGCTCCAGAGCCACAGATTGCTGAGCCCTGATCTAGCCTTACAACACAGGGACGCTGGTTGTTCTCCCTTCTTGGAGACACACAATACCAGTGAAGGTGAGACGGACCAGAGAAGTGAATTTTCAAAAATGGAATAGTTGTGTTGTTGAAAGAGTGCCTTACGCGGTCAAGGCATGGGTGGGTGGGAGAGTTGAGTGTCCAGTCTGAACCCGATCCTTGGCATGTCTAGTTTTTGTGCGAAATGGATTCTCCGTGCAGAAAGTTCTCCTTTTAGTCAAAGGTGTGAAAAAGCAGCTTTTGGGGAAGAAGCTGTAACATGTTGAAGGTGTGTCTTTGCGTCTTTTCCGTGGATAGAATACTTGGGTCAGGTGTGAAAGGATCCAGGTTGTTTTCACATCTTCAACTGGGCATGAATCTTTCTGAAGAATTGCACATGGCATTATGTCAGGGGGATGTCATACCAAGAAAATTCGCTTTGCAACTGGGGGAATGTGGAATTGAGAAACATAGAATATCAGGGCTGGGAGGGACCTTCGAGGTCTTCTAGTCCAACCCCCTGTCCGTGGCAGGGGAGCCTTGTTCTTTTGCTGAAGGAATCAGCTGAATTCTCAGTTTCCTGGTAACCTAGATGGCATTTCTCCGGTCATAGGGGGAGCCCTGGCTATTCAACGGTTTGTTTTAAGTGATATGGGTGTTCTTCCCAGCTCTTACTGTAGATGATTGGTATTGGTATTGGTATTGGTATTGNTAAATGTATGGGTCTTTCCTGCTGTCTCTTTGTTAAGTGGAGCAGATAGAATAGAATAACAGAGTTGGAAGGCACCTTGGAGGTCTTCTAGTCCAACCCCCTGCCTAGGCAGGAAACCCTATACCACTTCAGACAAATGGTTATCCAACCTCTTCTTAAAAACTTCCAGTGTTGGAGCATTCACAACCTCTGGAAGCAAGTTGTTTCACTGATTAATTGTTAACTGTCAGGGAATTTCTCCTTAGTTCTAAGTTGCTTCTCTCCTTGATTAGTTTCCACCCATTGCTTCTTGTCCTACCCTCTGGAGCTTTGGAGAATAGTTTGACACCCTCTTCTTTGTGGCAACCCCTGAGATATTGGAACACTGCTATCCTGTCTCCCCTAGTCCTTCTTTTCATTAAACTAGACATGCCTAGTTCCTGCAACCATTCTTCATATATTTTAGCCTCCAGTCCAGTCCCCTAATCACATTGGTTGCTCTCCTCTGCACTCTTTCTAGAGTCTCAACCACCTTTTTTACATCATGGTGACCAAAACTGGATGCAGTATTCCAAGTGTGGCCTTACCAAGGGGTGTTAAATCTTCATGTGATCTTGATTCTATCATAGGAGCAACTGATTGTTTACCCATTGATTTATACTTTGCCAGAATTCTCCAATACTTGTTCGATAACACCTGGCTGGATAGCTTTACGAGAGCTGTGTTTGTCGAGTTCACCGTCTACAATGCAAATGTGAACCTGTTCTGCATCGTGAGCCTGATGTTTGAAACCAACGCCTTAGGTGAGAGCTAGAGGCCTTAGACCAGAATCTACGTAGCCCATGTGATAATTTAGGAGACTCCCTGGGTGCCTAATGCTGTCAGATTGCAACACATACAAACCAAATTTATGGACCTTCAAATTGTCTTGACTTTTTGGACTGTCCCCTGAAGACACTCCTGATTACCCCACTGGAGATGGGACCGGCAGAGTCCGCTGCCTTCTTATCCCCTCCCCATTTGGGGGAAGGCTTAAGGAAAATAAAGAGATATTAATCCAGCTTTACAGGTCTTGCCATTGTTTACAGTTAACAAACATTTCTGTACTAACCGCTGCTTTGATTATTATTTTTTAGGAGCTTTCTTTCCACGGGCAGAATTGCAAAGTATCCGCCTTTATCCATACACCGATGGTCTGCATATCTTTGTTGTTGCAGCAGAAATAATTTATTTCCTCTTCGTTATCTACTACATGGTGGAACAGGTAAGAAGAACTCTGCTGGATTAAATAGAAGGCCTACAAATTGTTTCATTATCAAATTGACTGGTTCCAGATCCTAAGTGTCTGGTCTACAGAGAGGAAAGCCAATGGGCACAAACTAATTTCCCCAAAAGTTATTAAAGAATTCAAGCAGAGGTACAAAGGCAATCAGTTAATTAATGACACTTTGCAAGGAAAACAAGCTATAGCCCACCTGATCTTAATTAGTATTTGCCAATTATGGGCAGAAAACAAGCTGGATGGATTGGCTGGTCAGATTTTTGCCAGCAAGCAAGTAAGATATAAGATGTGACATCTGGTCATGTGCAGTGATGTCACTACGCAGGGCTTCTTCTACAATGGCATCATAGCATACACATCTAAAGAAGATCTGAGCTAAGAATTTGAAGTGATAAATAATCATGGATTTAACTTCAGGGCTATCTGGCAAAGGACGACTATGGTTTCCTGGTTGTCAGTTGTCACAAGCTGTGCTTGTATTCCCCATCTATTTTCTCATCCAATCCCAGCCCTTTAGCTGTTTTCCAAAAACAGCATGATAATTGGTTCTGTTGGTGCGTGCGCACGCGCGCGCACACACACATACACACACATATATAAGATGGATAATATCCACAGTATATATACTAAAAGTCTCAGGTCTGTTTGATGGTTTGTAACCTTCAAGTGGGCAAAACTTCATAGACAACAGCTTTTGAATCAATGTACTTCGAATGGACCAACTTAAAGAATGTGCCCAAAATCTGGGATTCATGACTCCCATGGAATTGAAATTTGTGGCTGATTCAGGGCTGCTGAGGTCAGCTATGGTCACGTGGTCGTGATTTCTGACAGCTTCCTACAATGAAAGTCGCTGGGGAAACCAGCAGGAAGTCAGACGTTACTTTCCCACGCTGCTTTTTTTGCCCACCTGTTTGTCTGTGTAGGTAAAAAAATATCTCTGAAACAATGATTCAACTGGCCATGGATTGCCTAGTGTATAAATAAAATTGACCAAGACATCCACACTGGTCTGTAATCATCTAAATGAAACGGCATTGCACTCTAGTGAGTTATATAAAGGCTTCCTTTCCTCCCCACTGCTCACAGATTGTACTCCTGAAAACTGAATATCTTGTTCCAACAGGGAAAAATCCTGCGGGCTCTGAAATGGAATTACTTCCACAGCAAATGGAACCTCCTGGAGTTGGCCATCATCTTGATCAGCTGGAGTGCCCTGTCCGTTTTTGTTCGGCGGATGATCTTGGGCTTAAGGGACATCTGTTACTACCAAGAACATAAGGATGAGTATGTCTGATTCTCTGGCTTTATTTGTTCTAGTCTCTGGCCTTTTGAGTGTAATAAACTTGATTTGCTGCTCTGGCACTTTCTGAATACACCATCCCACCAAAGGTAGAAAAGAGGAGAATTTGCTAATAGCAAGACTTTTCCTTTTAAGAGACAGGGTTGTTATGATTTGCAAATACATTCAATAAGCATTTGTATGCATGTGGTTTATATATACAAGCTAAACCAGGAGTGTCAAACTCAAGGCCCAGTGGCTGGATCTGGCCTGCAGGGTGCTTAGAACTGACCCACGGGGCCACCAAGGAAACAGCGAAAGATCGGCTCACTGTGCCTCTGCCAGCAAAAATTGAGCTTGCGCGGGCCGTGGGCAGCCCTCCCAAGCTCCATTTTTGCTGGCGAAGGGATTGCAGGAGGCTATTGCAGCCGAAAATGGAGCTCAGGAGCCTGTTTTCGCTGGTAGAGTGCTGAGGCCTCTATAGGCACTCCACCACACCCACCCTGGCCATGCCCACTCTGGTCCACTGAGGTCAAACACTGATGAAACCCTCAATGAAATCAAGTTTGACACCCTGAGCTAAACTATTTCATCCAGTTTCTTTCTTTTGAAAAAGAGGTGGCAGGGAAGATTTCTCTTGATGATTTTTTTGTTTGTTTGGATTGTTTGCTGGTGTCTTAGCAATAGCAGTTAGACTTATATACCACTTCATAGGGCTTTCAGCCCTCTCTAAGCGGTTTACAGAGTCAGCATATT